AGGTTTTAAAACACACCCAGCCAGGGTCAAAGAAATTGTCTCCAATCTCAGCCTTCTCTCCTCCCTCACACCCCATCCATCACTAAATCCCGTGCATTTTAGCATCCAAATGACCCTGAGGTATTTTTAATATATTTTTATTATTTTCAGAGAGGAAGAGAGCTGAAACATCAGTGATGAGAATCATTAATCGGCTGCCTCCTGCATTGAGCCTGCATCCCGGGCCTGTGCCCTTGACCGGAATCGAACTTGGGACCCTTCAGTCCTCAGGCTGATGCTCTATCTACTGAGCCAAACCGGCGAGGGCCCTGATATCTGATAGCTATGTCTCCCACCCCCTGCCAGGGCCCTGGCCCTGCATCCTCCTTTTACGGGGAGGATGTACCAGCTCCCACTGCTGCCCCTTCACTCTCGCCTTCCCATCAGCAAACATAACCATGTCACCCCCGGTGCAGAAAAGGCCTGAGGCTATTGTCCTCGCCAGGCCTGCGTGGTGCGTGGCTGGCATCTGGGAAGCAGAGATTTGGGAGGGTCCATAGCATTCCCCGACAGGAACCGCTCCCTGTGCCCAGTTTGTGTGCACCATGTAGTTTATGTTGCACCCCTGCTTGCCTTCCCAGAGTCTGCGTTTTGTGAGGGCTGGACAGGATGCCTCTGAGAGCAGCTTCCAGGGAAAACCTCGGGTCTCTGCCGAGCTTTCCCGGCGGCCAACATGGCGCATGCGGTGTCACAACTGGTGGCTGAGGTGTTCAGCACGTCCTGTGGGACTCCGGCTGGGGCCTGGTTTCCTCTGGACCTCACCCCGTGCGCCTCTGCCCTTGGCTGATTTTTAAAAAATATATGTTTTATTGATTTTTTTACAGAGAGGAAGGGAGAGGATAGAGAGTTAGAAACATCGATGAGAGAGAAACATTGACCAGCTGCCTCCTGCACAGCCCCCACTGGGGATGTGCCCGCAACTAAGGTACATGCCCTGGACTAGAATCGAACCCAGGACCTTTCAGTCCACAGGACGATGCTCTATCCACTGAGCCAAACTGGATTTGCGGCCCCCCCCCCCCCCCCGCCACCTTTGCTGATTTTAAGGTGTGTCCTTTGGCTGTAATACGTCATAGCCGTCAGGCAAGCTGCATGCCAGGTTCTCTGAGCTCTCCTAGCAAAACACTGACCCTGGGTGATGTCGGGGCCTCTGACACACTCTCTCTCTCTCTCTCTTTTTTTTTTTTTTTAAATATATTTTTTAAATTGATTTTTTACAGAGAGGAAGGGAAAGAGATAGAGAGCTAGAAACGTCGATGAGAGAGAAACATCGACCAGCTGCCTCCTGCACACCCCCTACCGGGGATGTGCCCGCAACCAATGTACATGCCCTTGACCGGAATCGAACCTGGGACCTTTCAGTCCGCAGGCCGACGCTCTTCCACTGAGCCACACCGGCTTCGGCCTGACACACTCCCTTACTTAAAACACTTCCTGGGCTTCCCGCTGCTCTTAGAAATAAAGAGCCAGTGCCTCCGGAGGCCCACGCCTGTCCGCACGCTGTGGCCTCCGCCTGCCTGTCTGACCTCACCGTTCACCACCCTCCCTGCAGGCCCACAGGCACTCAGCCTCTGTACTCAGCACGTTCCTTCCACCACAGGGCCTTTGCATTTCCCCTTGCCTGAAATTCCAGCCCCTCTTCTACTTTGTCAGTGTCTCCTTCAACCCCCTTCAGGCCCTAGCCAGTTAGGCTCAGTGGATAGAGCACCAGCTCATGGACTGAAGGACAGGTTCGATTCCAGGCAAGGGCATCGACCTCAATTGTAGGTCCCAATTGAGGCAACCAATTGATGTCTCACATCGAGGTTCCCTCTGCAGAGGCCTGGAGGGCCCCGGCCGCGAGCTCACGGCCCCCGTGACCTCCCCACTCCCCCTCCTTTGGGCATCTGTGTGCGGAGGGATGCCTATTTTTAAAATCAGGGAAGTCTTTAAATAAGCGTAACAGCTTTTCCTTCTCTAGGGTGGGGAGGAAGTCTGAGGTTCACGGAAACCACCACCTGTGACGGCTGACCAGCTTTGGGGGAGGGGCCCCTGGCAGCCCAGGTGCCTCCCCGCCACACCCTGCCCCGGCCCCGCTGCAGCATTTCTCTCCTTTTCCGTTGGGGTCAGGGTCCCTCCTTTCTCGATAAGCATCTGTCCACCCAGCAAGACGGTCACGAGGCTGGGTGGAGACGATGTGGGAAATAATGCCTGCAGTGGCGGGAATCGTGGAGATTCCAACTAGAGTCCCTGCCATTTCTGAGTTCTGGGCAAAGCCCTTTGTAACACATTGCAAACCCTCCATGGGGCAGGGGCCCGAACCTCCCTTCACAGACGCGGAGGCTGGGAACAGAGAGGCCAAGCAGCGTGCCCCAGGTCACACAGCTGGTGAGACATAGACCTGGTTTTCTGGCCCAGGTGGCCTGGCCCAGAGCTCCCCTCCTTTTGTTTACAAAAGTGTAGAAAGAAAACGAAAGCGCAGGAAGAGAGAATACGTGGTTATCCAGATAGAAACGAAGACGTATGGGGAGTGTGAGTGAGTCGCCGGGGTTAGCAATGCGCTGGCCAGGACAGAATCCCGCGCACCCGCCTTCCCCGCCTCACGGTCTAGCCCGTGGCCCTCAGTCCGGGCTGCACGGGCTGCACGTGGGAAACACAGAAGCTCTAAAGAACTCCGGTGCCTGGGCCTCTCGCCCCAAGACTGTGATTCCGTCGGTCTGGGGAGGCCTCGGGGTTGAGATCTCCCCCGTACAGCCCAGGCAAAGAACTAGCACCAAGATGAGCCCAGAGCCTCCAGGAGCCTCATGGGAAAGGAGTCTCTGGGCTGCAAGGCTTTCTGAGCAGCCTGGCTCCCGGGTTCCCAAGAGGTGGCTGGTGACACGCAATCGTCTGCGATGAGGATGGGTCCGCTGATGGGCTGCAAACCCAGCCTATGCTCATGGTCAAATCCACCCCACCTTCCACGAGTTTAAGTGTTCACGGTAGCCAGGCACCCTGCCAAATGCTTTCCATGCACAATCCTATCTCATTCTCACCACCGCTCTAGCAGGGAGCTATTGTACCCACTTACAGAACAGGAAAACTGAGGCTCGGAGAGCTGGGAAGGGGCAGAGAGGGACTCTGAGCTCCTCTCAGCAGAGCTGGCTATAGCAAACTAGGTCTGAGTCATGGCTAAAAACCCCACCGGTTTCTCCCACAACACAGTTTTCCTCTCAAAAACAAGGAGAACTGAAAAAAATTACAGAGCTCCTAAAAGCAATCCTATTAAAAGTTTTTAAAAAACACAATTAACTCCATGAGAGTACTGAAAGGAACTGTTCTTTGAATCAGTTAAGAGGCTTATTTGCTACCAGTGGCCCTGGCCCAATCTTTCCAGCCTCCTCCCCACTCCCCATGCCGGGGGCCAGGCTCTCAAATGGCTTCTGGCCCCCAGGAGGTCCCGCAGGGGGGTGCTTGGTGCAACATTCCAACCCTCTGGTCTGCGGCCTAACACCCACCTCACCCCTGGAACAGGTCCTGGAAGCTTCCCAGCTTCATTCAGGCCTCAACTCACCTAGACTCCTACCCCCAGCTTTACAGACCTTTCCCCCAGACCAATCTCTTTCAGTGTTAATACCATGAAAACAGGAGCAAAAGGAAATGAATTCACAATAGTCCTAACCACCAAATTTATCATCATCTATCAATCTTATCTACCCATCTCTGCCCGTAATCTATGTCTTTACAATTATAATAAAAGACTTCAGATAATGTTGTATCCTTCCCCCCCCACACTAATTATATGCACCAGACTTATTTATACCTTTTTTGTTATATATTTATATATAAGATAAATATATATGTATATATTTTATTGATTTCAGAGAGGAAAGGAGAGGGAGAGAGAAATAGAAACATCAGTGATGAGAGAGAATCATTGATGGGCTACCTCCTGCACACTTCCTACTGGGAATTGAGCCCACAATCTAGACATGTGCCCTTGGCCAGAATTGAACCTGGGACCCTTCAGTCCACAGGCCGGCACTCTATCCCCACTGAGCCAAACTGGCTAGGGCTATTTATACCTTTTTAATGGCACAGAAACTTACCAAGGAAAAACAGCTCTCACGAGTGCATTTTCTGATGGTTCATTTTTAGCATTTTTATCACCAATACTAAAACCACATTTTCTCACATTCTAGCATGTCTGAGATCTGAATGTGTTTTACAATTGGCCAATTTCAGTGCTGGGTCCCATTACATCACAGTAAAGGTTTCTTCTTCATAGCACCTGATATTACAGCGGATTTACAACCAACGGTATCTTATGTGCTAAGAAACATGGTGCCATAAATTGTACTTTTTCCTTTTTATGGGTCATTTCCTTTCCCATAAGTGAGATGAGGTTTGTTCATAGATATTTTCATGATTCCTGATACAGACCATCATTCTGATTCCCAGAACAGCTGTGTGGCTCTAGCTGGTTTGGCTCAGGGGATAGAGCATTAACCCACGGACTGAAGGGTCCCAGGTTCGATTCTAGTCAAAGGTATATGCCAGGGTTGCAGGCTTGATCCCCAGTGGGGGACATATAGAAGGCAGCTGATTAATGATTCTCTCTCATCACTGATGTTTCTATTTCTCTCTCCCTCTCTCATCCTCTCTGAAATCAATAAAAATATATTTAGAAAGAAAGAAAGAAAGAAAGAAAGAAAGAAAGAAAGAAAGAAAGAAAGAAAGAGAATAGCTGTGGGGTTGACCCAGCCCCTCTGTAGATGAAGGAATGAGGCGATTTCACCGTGGCACAACCAGCATCGAGCATTTCCACTTGCTTTTTCGTTTGCCTAGTTTAATAAGGAATTACAAATGAAGGAAATACGAACGGTTTCCTTTGCCTTTCTCTGGTTAGTAACAATAACTGGAACTCACAGGTGTTTTTCCTCATTCCTGTTGGAAATACCAAACAATGATTTCCAGGCTGGGAGGTTCCAGAAGCAACTTACCTTTTCGTCCCGGGTAGACATTTTCTTGTCCTCGCTGGGCCTGGAAAATAAGAAAGCATTTGTTCAGATCTGTCCTCCTGCCATCATTTGCCTTAGTATGCAACACTTTCTTACAAAATTTTTTTTTAAAAAACTTGATTAAGTATCTGAAAATTGTAAATGTTCAAAGAGTGTCTAGAAGGACATACATCCTGGCTACGTACCAGAAGGAACTGATTCAGGCACCCAGTCAAATACACAAATATTCATAGTTAAAAGGTGGAAACGGCCGAAACTGGTTTGGCTCAGTGGCTAGAGCGCTGGCCTGCGGACTGAAAGGTCCCAGGTTCGATTCCGGTCAAGGGCATGTACATTGGTTGTGGACACATCCCCAGTAGGGGGTGTGCAGGAGGCAGCTGGTCGATGTTTCTCTCTCATTGATGTTTCTAACTTTCTATCCCTCTCCCTTCCTCTCTGGGAAAAATCAATAAAATATATATTAAAAAAAAAAAAAAGATGGAAACAACCCAAGTGTCCATTAACATATAGATGGATAATAAAAGATGTTACATCTGCCGAAACCGGTTTGGCTCAATGGATAAAGCATCGGCTTGGGGACTGAAAGGTCCCGGGTTCGATTCCGGTCAAGGGCATGTACCTTGGTTGCGGGCACATCCCCAGTAGGGGATGTGCAAGAGGCAGCTGATCGATGACTCTCTTTCATCGATGTTTCTAACTCTCTATCTCTCTCCCTTCCTCTCTGTACAAAATCAATAAAATATATTAAAAAATTATAATAATAATAAAAAAGTAAAAGATGTTACATCCATACAATGGAATGTCACCCAGCCATAAAAAGAAACAAAAACACTTTTGTAATATATATAAACATCGAATTATTGTTATACATCTGAAACTAATAGAATTTTGTATGTCAATTAGACTGCAATAAAAAAATTAGTTTAAAAAGTGAAGTACAGTCTGGCCAGTGTGGCTTAGTTGTTGAACATGACCTATGAACCAGGTCACAGTTTGATTCCTGGTCAGGCCACATGCCTGGGTTTCAGGCTCGCTACCCAGTAGGGGGCGTGCAGAAGGTAGCTCATCAATGATTCTCATCATTGATGTTTCTCTCTCTCCCTCTCTGAAATCAATTAAAAAATATTTTTTTAAAAAGTGAAGTACTGACACATGCTATGATGTCTACAAACATGCCAGACACAAAACATCACATATGATTCCTTGATATGCAATATCCAAAATATGCAAATCTGTAGACACAGAAAGCAGATTAGTGGTTGCAGGGGGAGGATGGGGGGTGGTGGGGAGGGAAATGGTGAGAGCTTAATGGGGATAGGATTTCCCTTTGGGATGATGAAATGTTCTGGAACTAGATAGAAGAGGTGAATATACACTGTCGACGCACTAGATGCCTCTGAATTGTTCGCTTTATAGTGCTTAATTTCATATTATGTGAATTCACTTCAATAAAAAAACAAAAAACAAAAAACTCAGACCCGTAGATTACAGTGTGAGATTACTGTGGACAGCAGCAAGGAATCTAAATGTCCACTTATCAGGGGTCTGGTTAAGTCAGTTAAGATAAGTCTGAGTACGGGGAGACCCAGTGCTGTTAAACCTTCATACATGGATGAGGGAAGATGTGAAAAACATAGTGCCCCCATCACATTATATCACCGCGCATAGAGTCTGATCCCACCTATGTATGTGAAAAAATTACATGTGCATTTGTTTGCAAGTTTGCAAGGATAGAGCCAAATTCCTCACCTGTCACTGCTGGAGAGAAAGGGAATGATTTGCGGGTATTTTCCTTCTCTCCGCCTTTGGACAGTCTCAACTTTTATAACGACTATGTGTTACTTCTTAAAAAAATGTTTTTAACACAGTGACCTATGCATGTAGTACAAAGTTTAAATAATACAGAAAGATATTCCATGGCAAGTTTCCTTTTTACCCAGTCTTCTCAGAAGCAGCCACTCTTACCACTTTCCTACGCAGCCTTCCCAAGCACAGGTGTATTGATTCCTTCTCTCTTTTTCTTTTTTCTTAAATAAACGTGAGTTCCACACTCTGCTCTGAACCTCGCTTATTTCCCTTGAGGGTGTGGTGGGCTGAATATCGGCCCCCTGAGGGTGCACACCCCTAGTCCCATTCCTCGGGACCAGTACATATGTCACTTTACCTGGCAAAAGGCACTTTGCAGATGGGATTAAATAAAGGGCCCTGAGAACCCCAGCTGGGCCCAATGTAATGAGAGTCAGAAGTAGAAGGAGGTGTGACCACGGGAGGTTGGGCTGGAGTCAGAGAGAAATCTGAGGATTTTATGCTGCTGCCTTTGAAGATGGAGGGATGGGGCCATGATCCAAGGAATGCTGGCAGCCGGCAAAGGAAGGCACAGGGTCTCCCCCAGAAGGAACACAGCCCTGTTGGCCAACGGGGACTGACTTTGGACCCCTGAGCCCCAGAACTCTAAGATAACATATTTATGTTTTTTTCAGCCATCCAGTTGTGATTGTTTGTTCAGCACATAAGTTGTTTCCCAGTCTTTTGCTGCCCCATGTTCCAGTGAATAGCCCTGCACACCGTGTGCTACTTTTATCATTTAAAAAAATACCATCTTGAAAAAAAAATTCACCAAGACTTAAAAAAATAAGAGCTTTCTTTCTCTCCCCACAGCACCACGCTCAGAGGCACTTGGAGGCGTGCGTTTTTGCTGCTTGATTGGCAGAGCAGTCTCTGCAGCCGGCACAGTCTGACTCCATGGGTTCCTGTTCCGGCCCCTGGGGACCCTCCCCCTACTCTCACGAGACGGGCTCAAGTGGAACCTTCACCACAAGTGAAGGTGAAGGGAAGGAGGAGGGTGCCCTGGAGATTTCCTCCTCCACGAGGCAGGAAACAGAGCGAGCACATACGTTGAGAAGGATCCAGCTTCACTAATTCAAGCAACAGAACATTTAAACCTACCATGACCTCCCCATTAAACTAGACAAAACAAACAAAAATGAGACTACCCAAATGCTCATAGGACTGTAGAAAACCTTGCACATATTGCTGGGGATAACTATTTTTTTTATTATGTTTTTTAAAATTGATTTTTATTTATTATTTTTTAGGAGAAAAACTTTTTATTGCTTAAAGTATTACATATAGTATTACATATAGTATATATATATATATATATATATATATATATATATATATATATAGTAGTACATAGCCCCCTTTTTGGGGATAACTATTTTAAAAGCCATCAGGTGGCAAGTGGCATGTGCCTTCAGAATGATCATATCCTTGACCTGAAGAGTATGGGAACTCTATCAAGAGAAATCCCTTGGAAGCAAAAACAAAACAACAAAACATGCCATTTGGACAAAAATGTTGAGAGTGAAGTTGGTATGAGGGCCAGAACCTGGACACCGCGCAGAGGCCCCGCATGAGGGAAGAGCCGGGAGGCAGCAGCAGCAGGAGGGACGGCCGTGCTGAGTCGGTGGAGAAATGCAGAGCGGGCTGTTAAGCAATGAGAAGAACTCTGCATGGTTGCACACACCCGCCTGCAATCGCACAGCATGACCGGAACCGGGTGCCGGGCACAGTGCTGGGTTCTGGGGAATCCAAAGCGAAGAGGCAAGAAAAAAGGCCAGGGCCCCGGAGGGCTGGCGCTGTAGCTGGGGGGGACAGACGAGGAACCGAGGACACACTAAGCCAGGTACCGCCCCCCAGGGCTGAGCACGGGAAGGCCTGGGAGCGAGGAAACCTGGGCTTCCTGCTCCCGCTCAGGCGGTGGGGAGGCGTGGGGAATGCAGGCCGCTCTGGAATTGTGTAAGCCGCGGCCTGAAGGTTTTCAAACGCCTGCACCTGCCAGCCTTCCCTCCGAAGGGCCCCAGCGGGGAGAAGTTGCCATCCCCGGCCTCAGTCTTACTCAAGACGCTTCAGCTGCTGGCGGGGCGGTCCGGAAACCCTGCAGAGGCAGCTCGGGCCGCCCCAGGTGAGAGATGTATGTGCTCTCAGGGGGCGGCCATGGGGCGGAGCGGGGACAGCCTGGTCCAGGCAGGCACTAGGCTAAGCCTTCCTACCAATCATCTCATGGAATCTCCTCAGCCATCCCGTGAGGCAGGGACCATGCTAAGCCCATGGGACCAAGAAGGAAACTGAGGCACAGAGAGGCGAGGTCCCATGGCTAAGTCCACAAGAGCCCCCCGCGCCCCGAGGAGGTGCTGGGTAAAAGGCCTGACCACTCCTGGAGTTGAACCCGGCACCAACCACCATGCCTGCCTCTCGAACCCCTCACCCAGGGGAGGCGGGTGCTGCTCTGGGGGTTCTTCCTGCAGGACAGCCTCCTCCTGAGGTCCCGGCATTGCCTCCCGCTCCACTCCTCAGGGCAGGGATGGGGGGGGGGGGGTTCACACCCACCTGGGGTAAGTCCTGGCTCTGCCTCCTTTGTGTGCTAGTGGCGTGGCCTCCGAATCTCCTCCGAGTCTCCACCTGTAAGAGGCGATGGATGGCACCTCTCACCTGTGGCTGCTGCTGCCCGGCCCGGGACCAAGCGAAGGCACCTGCTCCAAACTCCACACCAGAGGGCAGCCCCTCTGCCAGCACCTCACTTCCAGGGGGTGGGGAGGGGGGTACCTGGGGACCGGAGGGGCCTTCTCCCAGGCCCCTGAGTGTCCTCTCCTGTCCGCCCTCCAGGGGACTCTGGGCCCCTGGGCAAGGCAGGGGCTCCAGGCGGAAACCGCTGCTCAGCTGCGGGCACCTGCGCGCGGGCTGGGTCCCGGGCCCAGCAGGAGGCGGGGCGCTGTCTTGAGGACTCAGCCTGGGGCTCAGAGAGAAGGGGCTGCGCATCACGAGGGGGCGCGTCCCGCCCGGAGCACTGACCTTGCAGTCCGCTCGCTCCGGCCGCCGCTGCAAATGCGAGCGGCTCCGGCCCGGCCCCCGCCCTCCTCCCCTCTCTCCTCCCCCTCGCGGCCCGCCCCCTCCGTCCCACCTCCGCCTCTCGCTCCGGCCGGGTCAGGGCCCCCGCCTGC